TAGCCGGCTTGGCTCAGTGGATAGAGCGTCAGCCTGCGGACTGAAGGGTCCTAGGTTCGATTCCGGCCGAGGGCACATGCCTGGGTTGCGGGCTCGTTCCCCAGTGGGGGGTGTGCAGGAGGCAGCCAATCAATGATTCTCTCTCATAATTGATATTTCTGTCTCTTTCTCCTCCCTTCCTCTCTGAAATCAATAAAGAAATATATTTTTTTTAAAAAAGAATAATATGTGAATAATGTCTGAAAGTGCTTTCCAGTTTATAAAGTTCTGTCTCACCAATGAGTTTGGATTGCAGTGCTTTGATGGAAAAAGTTCTCTTACAGGTCCAGGAGTCTCCTCTCACTGTGGAGATCCTACGTGACGAGGAGAAAGATTCAATGCCGCATCACAAGTGAGCACCTTTTACTCTTGGGCAGTGGATCCAAAACCAATGGCACAAGATGAAGCAGTGCATGTGAGAAAGCCTAGGGTTTTGGTCCATAGAAAACCCCAAACAGGACCCACTAGGATGTGCACAGCACGTGCATCTTCTGACTGCATCATGTCTCGAAGGCTGTGCTGCTCAGATTCCCCCTGGAGAACTGAAAAGGACAGAAGGGGCTGGAGTTAAGGGGCCTGGAGACCAGTGTCCTGGCAGGGATAGGAGGGATGAGAGGTATTTAACTTGGAGATCTGTGGATTCAGGCGACATAAGCCATCTGCTGCCCATCCAGCAGGGGCCTTGCTTCTGGAAGGTGCCACTTCCATCCAAGGCGGCGTTTTGCTTTGGTAAAGGACCCCCAGCAGACATTCCTTTTTTGTCCAGTAGAGAAGCAGAGCACCAATAGCAGCAGCAACTGTTCAGAATGTGAAGGCTGGACAAGCCCTTAGAATCCCCATCCTCCCTCCCTCCATCTTCTGCAGAGGGAAGACCGGGCTGGAGAAACGACTCACCCAAAGCCATGTAATGAGTTAGGGCAGAGCTAGGGTGGAACCCACACCTGCTGCTTTCCAAGTCACAGTCTGACTCACTTGAACTCATCCTCTTCTGAGATGTTCCCCTGCCTCCTCCCCAATCCCTGCAAGCAGCCATGTCCTCCAAGGCCAAACATCCAGAGACACTGCTGAGAAGCCTGTTTCCCACAGAGGGGAAGGTGGTTATTTAATAATAGCGATGATAATCTGCTTGGGGGCGGTACTTCATCGTTTGAAAAATACTTTCATGTCATTTATCTCACCTTCATCGACTCCTACCCTACTACACCCTATACTTTCTGCCCTTGTCCACCCCTTAGGCGCAGATCTCTCCCACGGAGAGGCAGCCTGTGTTATGGTTAGAGTGTGGCCTCTGGAGCCAAACTGCACGAGACTGAAGCCTGGAGTCAGATTGTGTGGCCTTTGGCAAATCATGTGACAGAGGCTAACTGTGCCTCAGAGTTCCCACGTGAGGATTACCTGAGTTAGTGTGTGCTTACAGTACCTAGTCCTGAGATTTGTCAGGACTTCACAAATCTCAGCTACTGCCACAACGATATTATTATTGTTGTTGTTACTGCAGAACTCTGTTCTATGGCCCAAAGCCTTTTCCATCTTCCTGTTGCTCCTTCAAAACTCAGTTCAAATTCCCCTCCCCTAGGGAGAGTTCTTTGATCCTTCTTCCTGAACAGAAGTAGATGTTCTCTAACATTGACTGCACCTACTTAAAAGCAGAAATTTGCCTATTTTCTGGTTTCTCCTAAGCTTTGAACTTCACCCCCTTATATATCTGCAACATATATGTGCTGAATTGATGCTTGTTGAATGAATGAGTGACCCCATTGATGCATCAATCTAGGAATCATTTTTGATTTCTTTCCTGCCGTCACCCACACCCAATCCAAGAACAAGTCTTGACAATTCTATGTCTAAAATATATCCTCAGTCTGCCTCTAGGCCAGCCGAGGCCACCATCTTCTCACACCTGAACAACTTGGCCTTCTCACTGGTTCCCATGCTCCTGTCCTGCCGCCCTGTGATCTACCTTCATTCCCTCCCGAGAACCCTCCCTTGACATCTCATTGCTGTTAGAAGAAAATCTAGCCTACTGACATGGCTCCGGAGCTCTGCATAACTAGGTCCTACCCTATCTCACACCACTCTCTCCGTCATTGGTACGCTTCCTCCGCTCTGGTCTCCCTTCCAGTTCTTCCCCACCTCATAGTCCCACATTGGCTCTTCCTCTGGTCTTTGCAGAGCCAACTCCTTCTTCCGATTTCAAGTTTAATGTTACATCCTCAAAAAAGGCTTTCCCTGATCACCTTAAAGGAACGTCTCCCAGTTATTCGGTGTCACAACACCCTTTTAATCTCCTTTGTAACATTTACCATAATCGGTAAATACCTTGCTTGTTCACCCATTAATTTGCGAATTGATTATTCCACTCAATACAATGTAAGCACAAGTTCAGGACACACTTCTTTTTTTCTTTCTACACTTCTTTTCACCAGAGTATCTCCAGATCAGCTCTTAATACATTTCTGATGAATGAATGACTCCCCTAGCACAGAATGAGTAGACCAAATATGTGTGCACACTTTAGAGTGGGCAAAGCTGAAGTATAGAGAGGTTGATTGCTGCCTAGGTCACATAGGCTGGAAGTAAGGGCCCACTAGATTATGGACTTTTCCCATAGGGCCATTTCACCTTGAAGGGAGACAGACTCCGGGTTGGAAGCCCGGCTTAGCTGATTCACATACTCATTATCCAACGTGGAAGCAGATGGCAGACATCCCATGGTTCTTGTCTCTAAAGAAGTAGTGCTTCTCTAGCTGGGTTGGCTCAGTGGATAGAGCGTCGCCCTGCGGACTGAAGGGTCCCAGGTTTGATTCGGGTCAATGGCACATGCCTGGGTTGCAGGCTTGATCCCTCGTGGGGGGCGCACAGGAGGCAGCCAATCAATGCTTCTCATCATTGATGTTTCTATCTCTCCCTTCCTCTCTGAAATCAATGAAAATATATATTAAAAAAATAAAGAAAGAAGTAATGCTGCCAGTATGTGGCCAAAGATTACATCCAATTACAAATTCTGGGCTGCACTTAAGGCATTGCACACACTTAATAAACACTCAATGGTCGTCAGAAAAGTGCAGCGATTGTGTGAAAAAGGAAGTCAGACCCACAGGCCTGAGAGCAGGCTTGCTCTCCCAGGACCCTCTTCTGGGCTGTTGTAATTTAGGCCTGATGGAATGGGAAGGATGTTGTTTCTAGTTCCCTTACTAGAAATTTGGAAGATTTTGCCATTCCTGATTCCTGACTGATGCCCGAGAGCAGACCCTGATTATTGCCATCATTTAAAATACTGCCTTGGCCATTGATCAAACGCTGGCAGCAAGACACCATTTCTGTGAGTTCAGGAGGCAAGTTCCTGGAGAAGGAGCCCGGTGACATGAGAATCCAGGTTGGGAAGTCAGAGGGCAGGGCGTAGCTGGGAAGACAGGCGCTTGGATTTCCAGCCAGCCGACTGTAGGCCCCTTGCAGACCCTCACCTGCCTCCTCTGTAAGACACGATTTAGTTTTGATGGTGGCCCGCGAGTCAGAGGGTTTGCATCTGATGTCAGGTCTGCTGCTGATGTGTGGTGAGGACCTTGTCAAGGCCCTTTTCTTTGCGTCTTGGTTTGTCATCTGCACAAGAACAGGTTTGAACCCAGCTCTGATATTTTCCCTTTCTGTGTCTTTTCCAGAGAAACAATTTCTCCTTTAGGACTGGGTTTCCATACCCTCCAGCCCTAGGAAGCCAGCATGAAATCAGCATGGCTACTTCAAAACAGTTCAACAAAGAGCATCTTAGTCCTAAAGGCCTGGGCACTTTAGGAATCAAGTGGCCATTCCTGTCACAGCCCTAGAAGCTAGGTACATATTTCAATGACAGGTACCCACTCCAGTGAAGGAGGCTCTTCAAGAGGGCAAAGTCATGGAAGCAGGTTGGGGAGTGGTGCTCCTCTGAGAATCTAGAAGTTCTGGGCACTGAACCCCAAGGACATAGTACTTTCCTGGCCTTGTGAGGAGATGAGGTTTAGGAAAATCAGACATGTCCCAGTGTCTTTTGAGCATTTACTGTGGGGCAGGCTTTGGCTCAACACTTTATATACATTGTTTTGTTTGAACTTGAGTCCTATGAGATAGATATTATGACCTTCATTACACAGAGGAGACAGAAAGTAAAGACACAAAGCTAAAGTGACTTGTTCAAGGTTATACAGCTAGAAAGACCGGGATTGAACACAGCACTCCATTATTAAACTCCTAATAAGAATAACAATAAAAATAATCAAAGTCACAGAAGTTTAGCTTGGCTGGTGTGTCTCAGTGGTCAAGCGTCAACCCTTGAACCAGGAGGTCATGGTTCGATTTCTGGTCAGGGCACATGCCTGGGGTTGCAGGCTCGATCCCCAGTGGGGGGCGTGCAGGAGACAGCTGATCAATGATTCTCTCTCACCATTGATGTTTCTATCCCTTACTCCCTCGCCCTCTCTTTGAAGTCAATAAAAACATAAAAGATAAAAGAAAAAGAAAAAATAAGACCACAAGTGAAGACTGGTCTTATTGAATTAAAAAAAAAGTTGAAGAAGTTCAGTAAGCAGTTGTGGACATTACTCTGGATTTGAGGTCTAAATAAATGGCTACGGATTCTAGTCCTTTCATTGATAGTTTGGTGACCTTGGGCAAATCATTGGACTTATTTGAGTGGCAGTGTGTGAACATATAAAGTGGAGGCAATCACTCCTTCTACTTCATAGTGTAAGAGTAAAGGGAATAATGTGCGTGAATTGTTTAGCATTGGTGCCTGGCATATAACAAGTGCTCAGTAAATGTTAGTCACGATTATTACTACCTTCCCCCCAGAGTGGTTGCAAAGCTTAGCTGAGGTAATGGTTGGGAAACCTCCGTGTCTTTTGCACCTGTCAGTAAGTCCCCTTTCTTACAATTATAGCAACTTAAGGGACAGAGTTATCTGTGAAGCTCTGGCTTCATTCCTCCCCGCAATGGTTCAAATTCTTTGCTTTGCAGCCAACGCTGATGACGAGCAAGGGTTTGACTGGGTGCCCACTGTGAATGACGTCCTGCAGCAGATCTCCAAGAACTGCAGCAAATGCTTTTCTGAGCTTATTTTTAGACCAGAAGGTCTCTGAAGGAGGATTTCAATATTTAGCTTCATTGTATGGGGAAGGCGATTTGCAATTACTGTGAATTTATGACTTAAGGCTTTCTCCTCCTCATCATCTTAAAAAGATACCATGGAGGTAGATCAAGTATGTGGTTGGCAGACTTACGTTCAGACCTAAATGAGTTCTATTGTTGGTTGTTCCTGATTCTTGAGACAATACGTAGTCATTGTAAAAAAATTTAGAAAATGCAAACAAACAAGTATGAAGGGGAAAAAACTGTAAATACCCATAAATGAAATCATTCAGAGACAAGATTGTTAATGTTTTGGTGTATTTTCTTTTGGTCTTCTACTTAATATATATATTCACACATTGTTTTACACAATTGGGATCATAGTATAAGCCTATTTTTAAATGAAACTATATTTTTAGGGTAGTTTTATGTTCATAGCAAAAAAGTGAGAGGAAGGTACATATACCCCCTGCCCCCACACATACATAGTCTTACTCATCATCAACATCCTTACCAGAGAATAGATTTGTTACAATTAATGAACCATATTGAAACATCATATTCACCCAAAGTCAATAGTGTACATTATTGTTCACTCTTGGTGTTGTATATTCTGTGGGTTTAGATGAATGTATAATACACATATCCATCATTATAATACTAGTGCTCTGGTGCACGGATTCGTGCACTTTGAAAGGAAATTAATTAGAAGGTGGCCAGGGGGGCAGCACTGAGTGAGACTGACCGGACACACCCTAGAGTCAACCTCCTGTAGTCCCTCCCCGGCTGGCCGCACCTGGGGTGGTGTCATGGCTCAAAGGGCATCTGCAGAGTGAGCAGGTCCCTCCAGCAGGTGGGGTCCCTCAGCCTGGACTGCGGGGATCTGGCAAAACCAGCTCTCCAATATCCCCTGAGGGGTCCCAGATTGTGAGAGAATGGTTCTCAGGTGACGCACCCCGGAATTGGGCTTCTTCCTCTCTGGTTCCGGGGTGCATCACCCAAGAACCACCGCTGCCAAGTCACCGCAGCTTGGCAGCTCCTGTGTTAAGTGTCTGCCGCCTGGTGGTCAGTGCATGTCATACCTACTGGCTGGTTGGACTGTCAGATGGTTGGATGGTCGCTTAGCCTTATTCAGAGTATTTTAACTGCCCTAAAATTCCTGTGTCCCACCTATTCATCCCTCTCTTCTCCCTCCCACAAAAACTGGCAACCACTGATCTTTTTATTGTCTCCATAGTTTTGCCTTTTCCAGAATGCCATATAATTGGAATCATACAGTATGCAGCCTTTTCAAATTGGCTTCTTCCACTCAGTAATATACATTTAAGACCCTTCATGTCTTTTCATGGCTTGGTAGATAATTGTTTTGTGTGTTTTTAAAATATATTTTATTGATTTTTTTACAGAGAAGAAGGGAGAGGGATAGAGAGTTAGAAACATCGATGAGAGAGAAACATTGATCGGTTGCCTCCTGCACACCCGCTACTGGGAATGTGCTGGCAACCAGGGTACATGCCCTTGACCGGAATCGAACCTGGGACCCTTCAGTCCACAGGCCGATGCTCTATCCACTGAGCCAAACTGGTTAGGGCGAGCTAATTGTTTTTTAAATATATTTTTATTTATTTTAGAGAGAGGAAGGGAGAGGGATAGAGAGATAGAAACATCAATCAGCTGCCTCCCACACCCCTGATTCCTGCCACCTGGGTATGTGCCCTGCCTGACCAGGAAACAAACTGTGACCTCCTGGTTCATGGGCTGACCCTCAACCACCGAGCCACAATGGCCGTACCCGCTAATTTTTGTTATTATTGAATAATATTCTGTTGTCTGGATGTGCCACAGTTTATTTACCCATTCACCTACTAATAGACATCATGACTGCTTCCAAGTTTTGGCAATTATGCATAAAGTTGCTATAAGCATCTGTGTGCAGGTTTTGACGTGCACATACATTTTCAGCTCCTTTGGGCAAGTACCAAGGAGCATAACTGCTGGAGCATAGGGTGAGTCTTCCCAAGTAGCTGTGGCATTTTGCCTTCCCACAAGTTATAAATAAGAGTTCATGTTGCTCTACATACTGGCCCTCCTTGGGTGCTGTGTGTCGAGATTTTGATCATTAAAAGAGGTGTATAGCATAACCCATTTTTTCACAAAGAGTTCCCTTCGTGGGTATCATTTTTTATAGAGTATATGAGTCCAACCTAGGGAGTCCATAGACCACAACGTATTTAACCTATCCCTTATTATCAGTTTAGACTTTTTTCTAATATTCACTATTATCAATAACACTTTGATGAACTTTTTTGTATGTAAATCTTTATTTACATCTGCTTATTTATTTCCCTTGGATATATTCTTAGAAGTGGAAGTGAGTCAAAAGAGTACAAGCATTTTTCAGGACCCACGGTAGAAGCATGGATGATCCCTGGGTGAGGCACAGAGCTGGCCTGGATCCCTTCGGCAAGGTCTTCTAGTCTGGGAAGGTTCTATTGCTTTATATTCCTATCAACAGTGTGAGACACTCCCTTGCCAGCAACAAGTATTACCAGTTGTTTTAAATGTTTCCCAAACTAATAGGTTAAACAATGATAATTTGTTGTCTCAATCTGCAAATCTTTGATTACTTAAGTTTAATGTACACTACAGGTATTTCATGCTTCTTACCCACTTGTATTTCACTGTGAGTTGTCTGTTAGTGTCTTTTTCCAGGCAGACTTTGTTAATAGTGGTTCTAATAATCCTAACGTTGATGCCAAACCTTGCATTTAGCCACATCTGATATGTGGCTGGGCTCCGGCAGGATTAGAAATAGTTCGTGTCAGCACTGCTGTCTCAATGAAACCAGAAGGGGCAAAGTTTTCGTGTTTTACTGGAATCTGGGAGATGAAGTTATTTTGCTGAGCCACATCTATTATATTATTATGCCTTCTTTTCTTACTCCCAAAGCTTCTCTTTTCTTCCATTCTGCTCTAGCAGGAGAGCTAGGTGTGGTGTGCATGGATACTATATTTCAGTATGTGTTCATCAACCTCCTACTATGTGCTGCACAGTGGCCACATTAAAGGACTGTGGGGTCTAGAGAAGAGCCTGGGCTTTGAAGTTGGGCAGATCTTGGGCACGTCCCTTATTAACCTTTCAGAAGCTCAGTTTCCTTTTCTTTTAAGTACCGGCGGTAGCCCTCCCTTTGGGAAATAAATGCTTTACGAATGCAAAACTCCTGGAACAGTGTCTGTCCCACTATACGATTCCATTTGGCTCTATAAACACTTCTTGAGCCACTTCTGTGTATTTGACACCGTGCTCGGTGCTGAGCGTACAAGGAGGAATCAGATGGGGCTCTTTGCCTTTCAGGAGCAAGGTCAGGCTGCTCATGGACTCCAACAAGGCCCTCCCTGACCCCTGCTGTTCTGTGGCCCCTCATTAAGTCCTGGGCCCACGGGTCATGGGTAGGTTGACAGCTCTCTTTAGAGCCCTGAGCCTTAGCTGCAATTCTGGAGCAACAGAAAGTGCCAGTCAACATTTAGTTACACAAAGTCACGACTATAATTTTTATTTTCTCTTTTCTTCTTAACATATCATAAGCATTTTTCCTTTATAGCGCAGTTGTTAAGGGAACCATGAGAGCCAGCCATCCTTACTAAGTGAGCGTGGGCAAGTGGCTTAATCTCCCTGTGCCCTAGTTTCCCTATCTGTGAAATTGGGGTAATAACAGTATCTACTTACTGGGGGTTTTCTTAGAATTCAACAAAATATTTCATGTGTATCTCTTAATATAATGTCTAGCCCCTAGTAAGAGATCAATGATCTCGTATTACTAGTTGTTATATGGTCTTCTTAGCCACTCCTACAATGACTTTATATGATTAAATTGAAGGTACAATACTTTTTTTTCTGATGTTGGATACTTAAGGTGTTTCTGATTTTAAAACACAAAGTAAAGTACGATCCCTAAGAAAATTGTTAAAAATCATCTTGCGGTTTAGAGTTAAAGTCAGAGCAATAAATTTAAGAATTAAATGTAGAATGAGTAACATTAATACACTTAAGTCGCCTTTCAAAAGAATTTAATATCTCTGCACATATTACACAGTAACTGACTCATGGTAGAAGCATGGATGATCCCTGTGTGAGGCCCAGAGCTGGCCTGGATCACTTCGGCCAGGTCTTCTAGTCTTTCTCCAGGCAAAGAAGCTGCATCAGCAATTCTCTCCTTCTGCCAGAGAATCTTGGATGTAGCACAGCTGAAGGTCAACCCAGCATTTTCAGCTATCGCTTGGGATTAGCTGGTAGGGCACCTGTCAAGCCACGTCTCCTGATGGGGAAGTTATGGGACAGAGGTTTCTGCTGTGGTTCTTCAGCCAGCAAGGCTCACAGTCAGCACTGGTAGACATAAAAGACGAACCTACACGGATCTAGCATCTTCCATGTGCAAGGCTCTGTAAAAACATTCTCTCAGCTAAGTAAGACAGAATTTATTGTCCCATTTTAGAGATGAGGAAACTGAGAGGTGCAAAACGGTGCAAAGTTTCTTCTAAGGTTGCACAGCTGGCAGAGCCATGACCCAGATCTGTCTGACTCTAAAGATATAAGCTCTTCCCATAGCACATGGATTACTTTTCAGTTTAATTCAATTTAACCAGCATGGATTAGCACTCACATATATGTATTACCCCTGCGAGTCTGAGAGCAGAGAGAGTAACCCAATGACAGAGACAGACCTAAGTCGCAAGGTCTAGTAGTTTTAGCAGTAGGCAGTTGCATGCCTGGGAGAAGTAATAAAGCCGTGAGGGAAGTTCAATTTATCTTGTGTATATTTCTGAAAGCCATCCTTAATCCTTTTAGGAAGAGGCAGAGGAGAGCTAGATTGATGGACCAGGGTTGTAATCAATGAATAAACAAAGGATAGTGGGAAAATGGGGATGGAGCGACTAATTCTCACTCAGAGAACCACAAAAGTCTTAGAGGATATGGTACTCTGGTTGAGGTTTGAGGGAGAGGAA